CTGTGCAGTGCCTGTCCTGCGACTGGCACCCTTACCTAGCACAGGGTCCTCTGAGTTCATGCTCACTGTGCCAAGTGGTGGCATTTCCTTCCTTTTGGGCAAGCAGCCCTCTCCCTGTGTGCTTACACTTCCCCTTCGCCATTCGTGCATCAGTTCACATGTGGGTTGTTTCTGTGTTCTGGCTGCGATGAATGATGCCGCAAAGGACAGGAGAGGGCACATGTCTCCGTCTGGCTTCAGTTCCTTTAGACAGATATCCCAGACGTTGGGGTGCTGGATCATATGGTAGTTCTGCTTTTAATTTTTTGAGGGTGCTCCATACTTTTCAGAGTGGCCGGTCCAGTTTCCCGACACACCAGTGGCACTCGGCGTCTCCCTTTGTCTTTTTCCTGCTAACACTGAGCTCTCCTCTTTGTGTGGTTGCCAGCATAATGGGTCTGAAGTGAGATCTCGTTGTGTTCTTCTCTGAGAATCAGTGATGTTGGGCATCTTTGCATACGCTGCCTGTCCACTGTCTGTATGTCTTTTCTGGGGAAGCGTCTTTTCAGTTCTTCTGTGTGTTTGCAAATTGGACAATTTGTTATTTTCTAAAAGTTCTTTATACACTTTAGGTATTAAGTCTGTCAGATACATAGTTTGCAGATACTTTCTCCCAGTCAATATATTGCTTTTTATCCTGTGGATGGTTCCCTTTCTGTGCAAAACAGTTTTAGTTTGATACAGTTCCTATTGCTATGCAGTTCAACCTAGTTTTGCGCTCACAATATCACCCAGGCTGGCCTGGAACTCACAGTCCTCGTGTCTCAGCCCCTAAGTACCAGGACTACAGACGTGCCACCATGCCTAGCGTCAGTTGGCTTTTCATGGTTTAGAACAACAAACGTTGTTAAAATGCCCATATTTCCCAAAGTGATCTTCAGATTTAGTGACTCCTGTCAAGATGCAGTGGAAGATTGGGCATGGTGCTGTGCTCCTGTCATCCCAGCTCTTGGGAGGTTGAAGACAGGAGGATCACTTCGAGTCTGAGCTGCGTAGTGAGACCCTGTAGACCCTGTACTAAATACAGTAAAAAAAAAAATGCCTGTGGAATTTTCCCCCTAGAAAAACAGAGACAACAATCCTGAAATTCGCATAGAACCACAAAAGTCAGAATACCAGAGTAATTTTGAACAAGAAGAAGAAGTGGAGCCATCACATGGTCTGCTTTTAAAACATATTACAAAGCTTCAGTGATTCAAACTGTATGTTCTGGCATCAAAACAGATATATAGACTTACGGATCGGAGCAGAGAGTTCAGAAATCGACCTGCACATATGTGGAGATGCATTTTGAAAGCCTCCTTCCGCAGCAGTGGAAAGTGCTGTCAAGATCCATTTCTGATTGATTTCAGGGCCTAACAGGGAGGCCCTGGGGAGGAGACAGAAGGGGCTGTGTAGGGCTTCTCTCTTCATGTGTCTAATATAGGCTGCTTCCTTCCCTGTGGTGGGTAACAGGCCAGAGGGTGCTCCAGCCTGACTCTGGGCCTCTTGTCCCAAGGAATGTGGAATCGGGCTGTTTGCACCAGCTCTTCCTCCTGTTTCCTGCATGTAGCTTCTGGTGTGGACTCATTTGAAGGACAAGGTTTCCCTGTGTCTCTCAGCCTCTCTTGCCACCTACTTCTACCCCCCCTCCCCATGTCTTTGCCGTAGAAGAGATACAGATGTGTTCTATGACAGGAGGAAGAGTTTGCTCGGGGAGTCCCCCTCTTGGGGGAGCCAGTGTGGCTGTCTGCCTAGCTGCAGGAGGTGTGCCCTCACCCCTTTACACTGCTTCCCCCCTCCCCCAAGGTGTTAGCTACCACCAAGAGGTGCAGACAAGAATGTAGCTCAACTCCTTGCTTACCACATTGGCCCCAAGCAGAGTATACATGGCTTAGAGCATTTGATTACATTAAAAACTTTAGAAATAAAAGTTTGACGTGGTGCTACAAGCCTGTACACCCAGCATCCTTGGAGGCTGAGGCAGGAGGATTGCAAGTGTAAGCCCAGCCTGGGCAACTTAGTGACTTAGTGAGACCCTATCTCAAAAACTTAAGAAAAAGGGGCATGTGGCTGGGATGTAACTCAGTGAGAAAGCCCTGGATGTAGTCCCAAGTAGTGAGGGGGAAAAATGCTGTTAGAGAAGAGGATTCATAATTTTGGCAGTTTTCCTTAGATTTTTTTTTTTTTTTTGTATCTTAGGGAAGGGTCTATAGGGTGTTCAGGATCTCACTACTAGATCAGACTCATAGTGATCCACCTGTTTACAGCCTCCCAAGAGCTGGGATTACAGGCACACGCCACCACACCCACTCTTAATTGCTGTCTCAGCATGCCCGGGGGTGGGGCCAGCATGGCAAGCCCTTGGATCAAACCCCTAGACCTTGTGCCTGCTTGCAGGAGCTTTAATCCACTGTGCTACTTGGCCAGCCCTTTTCCTTAGAATTAGATGGGACTTAGCACTATTATTTCAATTGGAATTAATGTTCTCAGATCCAAATGATTAGTAAATTTCTAAATCAGATTGCATATTAAATGCATTAGGAGCTGACTTTGGGTGTAAACGGATTCTGTGGTGAGCTTGGTGAAAAAGGGAAGGGTGCCTTTTATAGGGCCAGGGTCCATTCCCTAATGTGCAACACCCCAAACTGTGTTCTTGGGGATCTTTGTAGTTCACATTTGTGGCAAGTAAGGGTTACTGAACAGATCTGATTTTTAGTTATTTCTTTTTCTTGATTATAAAAATAGAACATTCTAAATATGGTGAAGACGTGACAGGGAAATAAAATTGTCTATAATTGCAGAACTAGGTGGTAGTTGCCTTGCTTCTGCAGAGTGTATGTGTGTGTGTGTGTGTGTGTGTGTGTGTGTGTGTGTGTAAATCTCTGTGTTAAATTACCTGTGGCTTTCCTGTGAGCTTTAGGCCAGCAAGTCAAGGTCCCTGGATTGTGGGAAGGCACGTAGTGGGGAGTTGTTTCTTTCCAAAGATAGTTGCTATCTGAGACTTTTGAAATAATAAGCACCGGCTACAAAAGACAACCCAGGCATAATCCCAGCTGCTCGCGAGGCTAAAGCAGATGGAACACAGGCAACCTGGCCAACTTAGACCTTATTTCAAAAAATAAAAAGGGTTGAGGATGGAGTTCAGTGGTAGAGAGCTTGCCTAACCTGTGCAAGAGCCTACGTCCAATCCCTAGCCCCTAAAAGAGTCAAGGGAGGGAATGAGGAAAGGAGAGAGAAGGAGATGGAAGAGAGGGGGAGGGAGGAGAGGAAGAGGAAGAGAGAAAGAAAGGAAAGGAGGGTGGAAGGAAAGAAAGGAGGGAGGGAGGGCAGAGCGGAGCGGGTGGCCCAGCACACGGCACTGTGGGGCGAGCTACGTCTGCCCAGGGTTGCTGCTCTCTCAGAGCGCCCCCTGGACACCCAGTCCCCACCCCCATCCTTTTCCTCCTTCCACTTT